GTACTGTCATGCACATTTGTCCATCTGTTGCAAACATGTAGGTGATCTTTTCACCTGGCTCTTTTCATGTTATGCATTTTCTTTTCTTTTAATCAGTCGACTGTGTTTTTTCCGTAACTTTTTTTTCAACTGGAGTGAGCTGACTAGTTAATTGATTAAGGAAATCAGGTTATCTCTTTGCCATAAGATTTAATTGAATTTATAAGGGAACTTCTACGTACATATATGTATTATATGTACGTAGTTGTAATGCAGGTTAATCAACCGTGGTCAAATAATTATTTAAATATGCATACATTATTAGGTCATATGGTTCCTTGCAATTATTAGTATTTAAGGAATAATCTTNTAAGATTTAATTGAATTTATAAGGGAACTTCTACGTACATATATGTATTATATGTACGTAGTTGTAATGCAGGTTAATCAACCGTGGTCAAATAATTATTTAAATATGCATACATTATTAGGTCATATGGTTCCTTGCAATTATTAGTATTTAAGGAATAATCTTAAATAATTTCTGCATAAATGCACTGTTCATCTAATGCAATTATGCTGGTAAAAATATGAGACTGTCCTGGTGTCATATCAATGATAAGTGTTTCTTTTAAAGAGCAGACTAACCTGTCACAGGTCCAAAATATCAGTAAAAGGAACTCCTTTGTTAATGAAAAGGAAAATGTCAGAATTAAGAAGGTAATGGCTTTTACAAATACCCATGATCAGAAGTTAATATATATATATATATATATATATATATGAAATATATGCATGATGGCAGTGAAAGCATATACATTGAATTTGTATGTTTTTTAGTACAGGAAGCTTACATTTATTAGTTTCTGCATTACATGGTAAAGAAAAAAGTCAATCTGAGGATGTAAATTAATTTTCTTTGAAAAAAAGGAAAGAGCCTCTTATGTTTAATTTATCTCCAGGGCCCAGTTGTTCGAAGGCCAATTAGCACCGAACCCAGGGTTAAATTTAACCTGGGCTTCTTTTTCTTTTGTTCAAAAAAGAAGGACCGGATCCTAATAAAGGATCTAATTAGCAGTAAGTAAAAATATCAAACAAAAAAAATGCAAGGCTGATTTTACAGTCAAGAATATATGTATTTATCATATAGACACGAGTGTTTTACGGGAAAATATACCACTCGTAAAATTCATAAAAACTACATCCAGGACTCGAGTGGTTTATTTTCCATTATCTCACACGTGAGTTTATCGATGATGTAATTTCGGTAATTTCCCTCTATTATTTTATCCATGTCTTCTTGTCTATATAATAAAAAGAACATTACATGGCGGCTTGAAGATATGAATTTTATTTTCTTGTGGCCATTGTTTTGCCACTCAAAAATAAAATTCATATCTTCGCCCCACGGTGTAATATCCTCTCTATATATATCTTGAACCAATATTTTGGAAAGCACGGCCTTCCTTCTTCGGGGTCTTACAAACAATGATGAGGTTAAGCTAAAAAGTATTTTCGATGCGGATAAACCATTGCCGGCAAATAACATAATTACATGAATTTTTTTTATCCTTAATTAACTGTAAATAGCAACTCTGCAGCTATATACAAACGAGAGCTTTTTTAGCATAACCTTCGTTTGAATAGTGTAGATTTTGATTTAAGCTATAACTGATCAAACGCCTCAGTCAACCGCACCCCATCTATTAGATTATTCTAATAATAATGTCTGTAATACCTTATACACTTAATGTCAGATCCCGAGGGAAACAGTTTTGTTTTCCCTCGAGTCCTATAAATGTTTCCCTCGACTTCGTCTTGGGACCTGACATTGAGTGTTTTGCTATATTTCTAGACTTTTGCTTCAACAGCAACAAGAGAAATAAGCGGAGCGAATCAAAACAGTCCACTCGGTTCTTATAAGACCACAACTTCAATTCTTAAAACCACTGATTGAATGATTTACCAAGTACTTCCCTTATATTATCTGCATCTTTATCCTCCACTAGCTGCTGTTTCTCTTCAGAGATAACTTTAAAAATCGTTGCTTTTAGCTTGAGGCTTCATGTTTGTGTTGTGGAATCGTCGTTGTGTTCATCCCTGAAAGTGAAAACTGGCAGTTTTTACCACCTTCTGTCACGTCACTTTCCACCATGCTTTGATCACTGTGAAGTATCCCGAGCAGGTACAAATATATCATGTCGTATGCTAACGTTTCTGAACTTTGAAGTTAGAATAGGTAGTAAATAACACATCTTGTTATATTTCTTGACTTTCACTCAACTAAACAGGGACTGCCGTTGGTTGATTCTTGGTCACATGGCCTTGACTAAAATCACATGTATCACGATCGGGATAGTTTGATCATTCTCAGGTACATTGTAAATTTGTATTGTTCACCTCACAATGCAGTTTCGGGTTTTCCATGCATGTACAGAGGAACCCCACTAATACGGTCACCAATGGGCCCAAAAAAATTGGCCAT